TATATCGTATTAAAGTAATGTCTACGTCCCTTGACAAATAAGACTATTGGATTTTGTCATTTACTATCTAAAAAGTTACGTGTATTCGATCTATCATCGTCCTAATCACGGAACCAACAATTCACAATAATTATAGCGGATTCAAAATATGTAAATTATTACTTTAAACAAAATATTGATACTTAGTAATTAAAAATATATGCTTATGAAAAGAGGAAAAATCTTTATTTTATTATATTTTTGGGGAATTCAAAGTACACTAACTGCCTCAGATCATCGCTTAGCTCATGACGACGTCTTCCTTGGTTCATATATTAATGCTGCACAAAGATCATATTGGCAGTTAGAAAACTCAAGTTCTAAACAAAAAATTCTATTATGTAAAACATTTAAAATAATACGAATCAAACAAAATATTGACTAGAGATCTCAAGTTGCATTTAAACGATTACTTATTAAATCACATAAATTTAAAAATGTTATAATCACTGACTTAAATAAAAAGAGTTATACAAATATCTAAGAATACCTTTCACAAGATGTTTTGGGATCGAAAGGCACAACTATAGGAACTTGACATTGTTCAGACAAGCCTATAAGTTTTCCATATGGAATCGATTCTATATCTTCATGAAAACACTTGCACATGAATTGACGAGTCTCTATCGTCTGTGCAAAATTGTATATTTCGAGTAAAGCTTTGCAACAAGCACTTGTTGGCTTATTGCTCGGTAGTCTGAGAACTTTTTGCAAACATGGTTTCACCGATTCTTTTGCCTTCTCGCAAGGCATGCTATACACCATTTTTACATTTAGAATTGAGGATATTCCGACTATTAAAATGATACAAAAGATGAAAACTGATTTGCTCATGTTTGGTTGATTCTGATTAGGAGTTTATTGTGTGGTTGTTTGGTTCATATATGAAGGTATTTATAAGAAATGTACATACTTATATGCATAGATTGATAGAGAGTCTAAGAAGAATAAAATTAATGTAGCTTTATTTGTCATAATTAATGTGACTATTATTTAATAGAATATCACAAAAGTGCTAATACATGGATTAAGAC